CTAAATTCAAAATATAATTTAACTACTAATTTTAAAGTATCATTTAGCTCGGTTTCAGACCATTCGAAATTCTAATACGTAACACGTGTATTTTTACAGCTGGTCGTAAAATGATATTTGAAAATATTTTGACGTGGTTTTCTAGAAAATTAACGAAAATTGCACAACATATATATTAAATTGAAAGTGTTTACGTTTATTTTACTATAACAAGACTTGACTCACTTGATACGTATGCATAATTAGTTTGACAGAAAATATCCTAAACATAATTTCTAACTATTATTGTCTATTGTTAGTGATGGTCTATAAGAAATGATGGCCAGGTGGTTAGGGCGCTCGACTCGCAGTCTGCGAGTCCCGGTTTCGAATCCCCGTCACACCAAACATGCTCGCCCTTTCAGCTGTGAGGGCGTTATAATGTACGGTCAATCCCACTATTCGTTGGTAAAAGAGTATCCCAAGAGTTGGCGGTGGGTGGTGATGGCTAGCTGCCTTCCCTCTTGTTTTACACTGCTAAATTAGGAACGGCTATCGCAGATAGCCCTCGTGTAGCTTTGCGCCAAATTCAAAAACAAAACAAACAAACTATAAGAAATGTTAGTGTTTTAGTTATTAAAACGTATTTCTACAACTGCATATAACTGTACACGTTTTCAGTATTAACTAGTGCTATTATTATTATTATTTTTTTCTTTACAGAAGAAAACAAATATATATATAACATAAATACCTGGCAGTCCAGTTAAGCCCAACAGGATTATGAAAGACGTCATTATAGATATTTTTCTAATCGACCTTCTACGATAATCACTAAAACTTTCCTCTTTCATGGTCCTACTTGTTAATGATAAAATATCGCAAGACTCCCCTCTCAACTCGAAGCTTAATCTAATCTTGTAGGGACCAATAGCATTTGCGTAATTTAACACTCTTTTATCCAATTAAAGATACAGAATACATACTGTTCATTGGAAGAAGATATTTGATCTTAGGTTAGTGTCGCAGACGACTATCTTTCATAAACCGGATCTCAGATTTTCTTGCATCACCCCGAATACGCCCTGTTAGTTAATTACTTTATACAGATAGTTTCTATCATCTACAATGACGTCTTATTAGAAAGGGGAAACAATTACCAGAACTGAAATTAATATATATCAAACAATAAAAATCTATCTTCTATGTTTGTGGTCAAATGCAACATCGATATGAAAGCTGTAAGTTTATTCTGTTGAATATTTATATTTTTGATATATGTATACAGTTGTATTGAAAACATTAGATTAAAAATAATTACTGGACGCTAGGTAGCTTATAAAACCTGTTTATATATTCTTCTTGTTAATTATTGGCTCTAAAAGTGTCTCGTTTAAGATACAGCGGAACATTTCAGCCACAATTGTCACTGTTTATATTCCAATTATTATCATTAAATCTCAGGTAACAGAAGCTGAGAAACTATAGAAATATGTACCCGTGGGGCTAACTTATATTTTAAAAATACAATTGACATACTGCTATATAATACCGAAATCGAATGAAATTGTTAAGCAATATAGAAATATGAAATGTTCGTGCCCATAAGGTAAATATATGTAAATACGGAAATGGAACACATGGATTGACGTAATTGGACTGAATACGCGGAAGTATATCCTGCTTTCTGATACTAGTGTACAAGTGAAGTTTGTATTCTTAGCGGGAGGTTATGTTTTGTTCTGGTAAAATTAAAGTATCAATTGTTTGTTTGTTGTAAATTTCGCGCAAAGCTACACGAAGGCTCTCTGTCCCTAATTTAGCAGTGAAAGACAGGGAAGGCAGCTAGTCATCACCACCCACCGCCAACGCTTGGGCTACTCTTTTACCAACGAATAATGGGATTGACCGTAACATTATAACGCCCTCACGGCTGAAGGGACGAGCATGTTTGGTGTGATGGAGATTCGAATCCGCGACCCTCAGATTGCGAGTCAAGTGCCCTAACCACCTGGCCATTAAAATATATATTACAAGTCATTAGTTCCCAGTTCATCAAGACACTCGTGTTATAAACTTTCTAAAAAAACGATGAATTAAGCTAAAGAAATAACCTCAGGTAAACTAAATTAAATTGGTTTCATTTTATACATGTAGCTATTGGCTCATGATTAACTTTTGATAACTGACTATCGTGCATGGTTTGTATTACAATAAGCATATTTCGGTTTTGTTGATTAACTGTCATGTACAGTTTGTATTATAATATTATTTTTTTATCAATTTACATTGTGTATGAATTCTATTACGATAATCATGTATTTTATGTTTATTTCTTTTATCCTCTTCACTGCATGAATGTTGTGTGTGAGTTCTAGTACGATAATATTTTTGTTTGTTTTTGTTTTAGTGAATTGGTAAATGTTATGTACGAGTTCTGTTAAGATAATAATTCTTTATTTTCGCTTATAAGGAACTGAATTATAAACTTTAGAATAAAAAGGAGTTTCCATTGGGTTACATTTAATGGACTATTCAGTTTTATATTTTGATATTAAATATAAATCACAACGTTTTCAGTTTTGTGAATATTCTGCGGGTGAATACACAGCTTTCAACAAAATAAGCTTCAAGGATTATGATGAATCGAACCAAACCTATGAAGAGGATCGTTTTTTTTTTGAGAGGAGTGTTAGCTTAAATGATTGATCAACTTATCTCTGATTTTTTATTCTCTAATAACCATCGTAAGTCAGTCATACTATATAGAGATAACTGTTCTTAATAGAAAACTAAGAGAACAAATATTTCAATTTGATTGTAGTACTTGGAAAATGGGTGCATTTATTACGAATAACTCATCAGACAAACTTTTCTTCTTTACGACTGATAGTGTGATGAAAAAATTGAATCAGTGTGTGAGATTCAACCAGTTGTTGATATCAATAAATATATTAAATTTTGTTAACTTTTATTTGGAATTAGATTTAAAGGAACCAAAGTTAATGTTAAGTAATGATAATTCGAGTTTTCTATTATTTATTAAACGTAAACACTTTATGCTCATGGTTTTGTAGTTTAATTTAAGATGTTTCTGTGTATAATTATACGTGTATAAAAATAACTTTTATAAACTATTGCTCATCAAAAATGACTATCTAGGATAGCTCGCGTTCAAAATTAGAAATATTCAGTTAGGCTGGATTTAAGGAGGCCGATTAAAAGCGTATCTGAAATACTATTGACATAATACGAGATACTTAATGTAGTTGCCAAACATAATTTTATAACTCTTATTAGGCACACAAATTCTTAGTATTTCATCTTAGTAAATCTTAGTAATCTCCTGAAGAAGACTTGTAGTCGAAATGTTGAGAATAAAATATCTTGTCATACCATTCATAGTCTCAATGCTATCTTAGTATCCATATGCTCTTATCATTTTTGACTGTATTCCTGCCCTTAGTATTTGTATATGTTTTCTCTGATATCTAGAATTTCATTTGAAATATTATCCTTCCATCACTAAAAATCTCTCACGGACTAGCTTACGGACTGACAACACTAAAGATGCTTCAGCTAGATAACCACCTTATATCACATGTTACAGTTGGAGATAATACAACTTTATCACCATTTTAGGAATAAATCATAATATTATCTTTCAAATGAGATACATAAGCTCAACTTCCAGTACTCTAATTTTGTAATAATTTGTATATTCTCTCTTAAAGAATTTTCCCAAATGAGGATCTTTCAAAATACTCTGTTTATAATGTGTAACTTTATGAAGAAAACTTTGTCGATTTGAAACTTACTGCCAGCAGGAAGGAGGTACACTGGTTAAACTGAATGATACAACCACGTGGGACTTCGTAAACTTTATGTTGGGGATACAGCTTGGCAAAAACTGGATAGGGATGACAGATAAAAGGACAAATGAGAAATGGAAATACTTAGATGAACGCGATGTGCCTCCATCAGTTCTTTCCTTGGCAAAAGGTGAACCAAGCAACCTTTATGGCATATAGCATTGTGCGATGGTGATGTATAAACACAATGAAAGATCCGTATATGACGTAACTTGTTGGGAAAAAGATCAATTTAATATGTGAAGCTAACCAAAATCCTCCATCATTGGGTAAGTATTGTAAACTGAAAATATAAAATTTATTATGTGTATTACCTCAAAATTGTCTAAAAACGGTGGCACATATTTGACGATGAGAAATGTACTGATTAATATTGAAATACTAGTACAGTTGGAACAATGTTTTCTTCATCAGCTAAAGACACTAAATCATAATTCAAATCCAATTTTTGTTTAGCACACAATGACTTACAGTAAGGCTTACAAAAATAGTGATTGCCTAATTTCTACATGGTAAATATATTATGTTAGAATTCTGTTTTTATCTAACGTTTTTAGTAACGACGTCTTATTTTTTTAATTAAAATATAGACAGTTACATAAATGATATACATATATATGTGTGTATTTGTATTTTTCAAAAATCTTTGGATAGATTAGTAACACCATTTAGGTAGTTAACTCATTTTAGGATAGCATACGAGAGGAGGAATCTTGAGAAATTGGGTAATTTTATTGCTTTTCCTGCGTTCAGTTATTTGATGCAATGCTTTTCTGATATAGTGTAAGCTGTAAAGCTAATGGATATGACATATAAAATTAAAGTATATTATTATGTTGAGGAGATAAATATCTGCAAAACAGATAAAACAATCATCAGAGCACTTGACTGGCTTCTGACGTAAATGTAACAAAAGAGTTACCTAATAAAACTTGTAAACAATTCTTCCACGAAGTTGGTTTAAATACATCTGAGAGAAATTTGGGATTGTAATCTAAACAAATACATTGTTCGTCTTACCACATTTATTGCATTCAAAAGTTGAATGTTTTCAACGTAAACTTTGTCGAAACGTTGTACATTTACTGTTATGTTAAACTTATATTAAAGTTTTTCTTCATTACCCATTCAAGCCGTCTTCAGCCATTATTTGTTAAGGTAGTTTTAAAGAGAGTATAAAATTTAAACTTTTTCGTTTGAATTTGTATATGTATTACTATTATTATTGTTCAAATTTAACTAGAATAAAAATCATTCTTAGTGTTATAGAAGTCGAGAAAAAATAAGGAACGTAGACTGATAGTTTGTGTAACGGCGAAATTTGGCAAGTATAGAATTCCGTGGAGAACAAGGGATAACTGTTAATGTGTACAACAGTTGAGTGTGCTGGTGTACATATAGTACAACTACTGATTTTATTAATGTGTAAAAGTGATAATAAGTGTATAAATACTTGTTTTTGTATTACAGTATGATATCAATAAATGTTTTTGAAGATCCCCATCATTTTGGGTTACGTGAAAAACTCCAGAGTGAACGAAAAGTAACTCAGAATGATTTTGTGCGTTGAAATTCTCTCAAAGCTATCAGAAGGCAAACTGCGTTAGCCGTCCCTCATTTACACTAGAGGGGAGTCAACACAGCCACCGCAAGCTCTTGGACTGCTCTTTAATTGAACAGTAGTATTAATCGTCACATAAAACACCCTTATGGCTGAAAGAGCGAGCATGTTCAGTGTTCGGATTCGAAATTTCAACCTGCAGATTGCGAATCGAGCACCCTAATTACAAGGCCATGTCAGGCCAAATCAGAATGTGTTTCTAATAAAAATTAGCAGTAAGAGGGTTTATTATTTAAACAACCAAAAGGTGTGTCATTTGAATTAGTCTAGTTGTAAGTTGCTGAATATAATCACGATAAAATCATTACCAATACATTTTTAAACATAAGTAAGTAAAAATGTAGAACACTCGTCATTTCGTTTGGTGTAATAAAGTTAATGAATTA